CACCACTTACCAACTGTGTGGTACTGCACAATTTACTTAACTTCTCTGAATACCAGCGTCCTTATCTATAAACTGGGGATAGTACAGTGCTCACCCAGTAGAGGTGTCGGGAGGATAAAAATAGAGAACACCTGCAGAGTGCATAGCAGATGCCTGACACACGCTGAAGTGCTCAATAATGTTAGCGGCTGCTTTCTGTTGTTGTTGTTTTGTTTTGTTTTTTGGTGAGGAAGCTTAGCCCTGAGCTATCATCTGTGGCCAATCCTCCTCTTTTTGCTGAGGAAGCTGGCCCTGGGCTAACATCTGTGCCCATCTTCTTCTACTTTATATGTGGGATGCCGCCACAGCATGGCTTGATAAGCAGTGTGTAGGTCCACACCCGGGATCTGCATGCGCGAACCTCAGGCCAGTAAAGCGGAGCACACGAACTTAACCACTACGCCACCGGGCTGGCCACTGCTTTTTGTTGTTTTCGTCATCGCTGTCAAGACCATTTTGGTGGCAACTCAACCTAATGTACTAGCAAGAGCTTGGGCTCTGAGTTCAGTAGGCCCATGACCCCATGCTGTGTCTACGGAGAGCTACTCTGCATCTGAGATCCTCAACCTTTTCACCAGCAAAGTGGGATGATAGATAGTCCCTTCCATAGCAAGATTTTTTGTGAGGCTAGAGTGAAATAAAGGCTTTGAAGGCCCATATAATGGTAGATGCTCGGATGAAAAGTCAGTTCCACTTCAGAGACGAGAAAGCTCATCACCATGTGCCTTTACTGAGCAGGTGAGAGCTGAGCAAGGCTTGGTTAGGGCTCCACCCCTGCTGGAGCCTGGAGACAGGCTGGCTGTTGGCCTTCTGCCCCAGGGGTGTCAGGTACAGTGGAAATCGGGAGATCCACACTCAGCACACTCAAATACCTCACAGTGTAGCAGTTAAGTGTAAAACCCCTTAGAGCCAGGCTGCTTGGGTTAAAATCCTGGCCCTGAAATGTACTAGCTGTGTGGCCTCAGTCCCCTCATCTGTAAAATGGGTGATGACAGGACCCATCCAAAGGTTGTCATGCGGCTTAAGAGTGTTAGTCCTGTGCCTGAGGTAAGTACGCATTATTATGTCTTTGAAATAAATTTATGTAAAATTGAAATATATGTGGTTAGCCAAAAAAAAGTAAGTTAAAAAAAGTAATTGAAATCGGGGTCTTTCACTCAATGAGCATCTGCCGCTGGGAGAATGTGAGAAGGGAGGGGTATCTGCTTTTCCCTCAGTTGGCCGTGCTCAGCCCCCAAGGGCCTCTAGCTCACAGTGAGTACATCTCCTCAAGCCAAGCACAACTCTAAGGTTTAAAGTTACCTGCTTCCCCCAAACCACACAGCCCCTAGAGACAGGGCAACTATTTCACCTGATCCTCACCAATGAGAAAGCAATCTGCTCCACCCCTGGCCTTGCTGGATGGGGAGAGTGCGTCGGTCTCCAACGCAGGGACTTCATCCCCTCGCAAGACTCGAATCCACGGAACCCTCATCTTCTAGACTCTCTCGGCTCTTAATCTCTTCTCTGGCTTGTGACAACTCCTTGAGGGGACCCAGGGCGCTACACAATTTCCATGCCAACCCAGCCCTGCTGTCTAATTCCAGAAAGCATACTGAAATACAAGTTAGTGAGGCAGCTCAATGTTAAATGAATCATCTCAAATTTACTCTATCATTTTTAAAACAGTAAATTACAAACGAAGATATTGTACTTTAATGAATATTAGCCACAAATGACTAATTTCCTCTAATCTCAACACATCCAACTGAAATTGAAAACTGCTGCTGTGAGGGAGCCCAGCCACCTCCTTGAGAACAAGATCTCCTTTAGTCTATTTACCAGACTGAGACCGTCCCTCACCTGGTGATGACAGGGGAGTCAATTTGGGGACCGCCAATGGAAAAAAGAGACGATGTGGGCACAAGGGAGTCTAGAGGTTTAAGAGTCTAGTCTAGTCCTGTCTCTGCCACCAGTGGAATACCTCTAGGCCTTAACTTTCCAAGGTAAACTAGAGATCTGGACTAGTAAGATATACGCCCTTCCCAGTCTTTGCCAAGTCCCCATCTGATGTGAATTATTGCGCACTTAATATTTTTCTTTACATGACTCTCTTCTTTTACTCAAAAATTTTATTTTAAAAGTGAACTTTAGTCGCCTTGGGAGCATAATAACGAACCAATTCATGAAAGCTGTTCGATAACAGGAAAGAAGCACGCATTTATCCCGCCTTCCCTATATGACCTGTACCACCAGGGAACCAGGTCATAGATAAGGCAGCCTCTCTTTATAAAAGCATTCCAACTAATAAATGAAAGAGAAATGATAGGATTAGGATACCACAATCCTACAATCCTTAATGAATTAATGGACCCACACACTGAGATCAGTGCTTGCCAACATCACAAAAAAAGAGCCTTCGGATGAAAGAATACACCACCTCCTGTGGGCTTGCCCAAGGGATGGAACCTGAGTCTGACCAAGCCTCTGGGTCAGCTACCAATGTGCAGGAAACACAGAGGAAAGAGGAAATGCGTGGAGGTAACCCACCACTGTGTGATCAGCAAGATCCAGACTGAAAACGCACGGGTCAAACAGCCCAGGGTCTCCAGCAGATAAAAGTGATGGATGGAAGAGATGGAGGAGGAAATCACTATATTAAAAGACGCATCAAATTTCTAAAAATGGGAAAGATTTTTGGGAAACTATCGTATCAAGGGATGATAAAACTATAAAGACAGGCAAGGAAGTCAAGCTACCATTTGGGGGGAGATTGGGATTAGAAGGCAGAAAAGCTTCCAGAGAGGTGGCCAAAGTTCTCTTTTTCGACCTGGGTGGTGGTACAAAGAACCTCACCTTATGATAACTCATTACTAAAACATCTATTTCGCATGGTTTTCTATATTAGTTTTATAATATCTCAAAATTAAAAAACTTTATATTACTGTCATAAATTGAAGAAATCTGTAAAAAAATATATAAAATGAAAGCCAAACAATGACCTAGAAACTGCTGTTTCCCAAAGCTTAGAACCTGAAGCCTGGTACCTTCTCTTTGTTTAAAAAACAAGCGTTGGAAAGATGTTACGGGAATCCCAGCACCAAATGGAAACATTCTCCTTGAGATACTCAAGAGAACCCGAAGTGAACCCAACACGGGGGATGTAATTTAAAATCCATGCACCACCCAGAACCACCCTCCATACTACCCGGGACCATTTTGCACAGTGGTGCATGCTCTGTACTTTGGCAAACACGATTCCAGCTCTTAGTCTTGCCTGCGGTGGAGCAAAGGATGTTCCTGCAGCCCCGTGTTGCCCAGCAGACCCCAAAGAGGCTGGTGGGCCAAAGCCCCCTCAGGGAATCCTGTACATATTTGCCTGAAATGTTCCCTCCCTTGACGGCCTGTGGTAGGGAAACTGTCTAGGATTTGGGGAATCTGGCCCCTGCAAAAATCGTCTCATCACTCAAAACCAGATGCCGTTGTGGCAATCAGGCAAAAATCTGTGGACTCATCCGCCTCTCCGAGTTCTGCCATCATATCCCCTATGCGTTGTTTTGTAACTAACTCCACATCTGTTTCTTCTGCTCTAAGACCACGAACTTCTCAAAAACAGGACCTAGCTGACTCAGCTCTATACCTCAGCACTTAGTCAAGGCCAAGGCTAAATGTTTGGGAAGCGAATAACCAACATCTATTGAGTGTTTACCAGGTACCCAGCACTGTGTTAAGTGCCCTCAGGTGTAATCTCATTGCCTCCTCACAACAACCTCGGATGTAGCTGCTACTATCTCATCCACCCTACAGATGAGGAAACTGAGGCCCAGAGAGGTTTTATCATTTTCCCATGGCCACTCAGCCAGTAAGTGACAGAGCCAGGATCTGAACCCACATCTTTCTGACCCCAAAAATGTATCAAGAGACTACTTTGAACAGGAAAGGAACGAGTTCTGGTTCTCCCCCTTTCACACAGGGCAGTTCTTCGCCTGGCGTGTGGTCTGCACTGAGAAAACCACCCAAAATCCAATTATGGGTCTTTCTAGGCCGGGAATCTTTAACCTAACTTAGCAGAGCACAGAACAGAGGAAGTCCCGATCTTTAAATCATGTGCAACATACAACAGCATCCCATCTCACAAAGAGGTTGAGCTCTAAAATTAGCATGTAGGGTAAGAGCTGGAGAGAGTCAAAATAATCTTGAAAAATCCCTTCAAGCATCTTTGAGTCACTGGGCCACTGGCCCTTAGAAGGCAAGACTTAACTTTGTCTCTCTTCGCATTTGGGCTCTGGCCTGCCCGTCCTTAGGGGTGAGGGCCAAGGTCTAACTAGAACAGGGAAAAGGTAAGAGGTTACTTAAAGGGATGTCTCTTGCTCTTGCAAATAGGGTTGAAATCACAGTCAATAGTGACAGGGGACAAATGCCCCCTTCTCTTCTCAGGAGCCATGGCTCTGAGCTCACAGACCCTGCCTAGGACACTCTGCCCCCTCCCTGGGGGGTCCTCTGAGGGCTGCGTTCTCAGGCAACCCCTCCTCCAAGAAGGTCCACGAAACTTGCAGAATGTACTCGTGCAAGTATCTGAAGGGTCTGGAGGGCTGACTGCAACCGTCTAAAGTCACAGCGTAGGGACCTTTCACCCGTTCCCATCTGGAAGTTCTGCTATTACATCTCACACTGTGAGACCAGAAATCCTGAGTTCCTGTCCCCAAGTCACCTTTTGCTGTCAGGGAAAAGCCCTGCTCTGTTGGTTATAAAACCAATTGCATGAGTTCCTTTATCTTTGTTGAAACAGCATCTGCCTCAGGGGAGAGCACGTCTCAACAGCAACCTCAGAAATTCTCAGCAGCCTTCCCTGGGCCCCAGACCTTCCTGTCCTAGAATGGGTGAGGCCCAGGGGTCCCTGGAGGTGGGTGCTGCTGGGATAGCTTTGGCCAAATCCCGGTGAACCCTGGAGGCGGAGTGGCCGGGGCCCCCGGGCCAGTCACCATGGTCTGGAAGCAGGAGTGCAGCTGGGTCAGGAAGGGCGGCTTCCCGGGCAGGGCCAACACGCGCTTCTCCACCATCGTGCATTCCACGTCATCATCTTGGATCACGACATCCTTCTTGAGGATCTTCACGGCGTAGAGCTCATCTGTGCCTTTTCGCTCTGAAAGCATGACCTGGAAAGTGAGCAAGCGCGTCAGGGTAGTTGGAAGGGGCCCGGGGGAAAGCCACGGGCAGCTGAGGCTCATTCAAATCCATCCCAAGCTTTATCCAGATGCCCTCTGTTGACACTGCAACAACAGATAAAGTTTTCCACAGACCTCACACTTGGAATGGCTGAACCCAGTCAACAGAGGATGGTTCCAAGAGCAATGATCCAGTATTGACCCCTTTGGGATATGTATCAATGCCCAGCCAACATGGTTAGAACATAAACCCCAGAGGGCAAGCATCTTTGCCTGTTTTGTTCACAGGTGTAACCCAAGAGCCATAATGGTGCCCGGCACATAGTAGATGTTTAATAAAGATTTGCTGAATGAGGGAATGAGTGAATTCCTGATAAAACTGAATTTGGGGCTCTTGTTCCCTATTCATTCGATGATTTAATATTCATTAAGAGCCTGCTAGGCACTGGGGACACAGCATAAAACAAGCAGGCACATTCTCTGACCCTGCACTCCAGAGAGGAAGGCAGACTTCGGACATTAATTACAGGGATGATTAATGTAATATTTTAACATCCTCTCCTGTTGTGCCGGGGCTTCTTTCCATGCAGCTGTGGTCACCATCAGGGCATGTTAATCACTGTGGCTCATGATACATCATTATTTTCACTGGTTCTGACTATGCCAGAGGCAACAGTGACCAGCAGGTACCATTCTCAAGAAGCCGCTTAGGAAGCACAGGGTAAGACCACATTGTATAAGACCCAGCCTGGTCTGGGGGCTTCTGGGAAGGCTTCCTGGAGGAAGAAGTAATCAGATTGAAGTATTTATTGCATGCACTATATCAGATATTTTGCACACAGTAATATCAATCACCACAATATTTTTGAGCACATAGCAATGTGCCAGACAATGAGTGGTTTTCATTTATTATTTCTCATTTATTTTGCTTAAGACCCTAGGAGATAGGTACCATTCAGAACCCTATTTTATAGAGAACAGAGGCTCAGGGAGGGTAAGTAACCTGTCACACCACAAATTCAGTTAGGGACAGAGGCAAGATTTGAACCCAGGTTTACCTGACCCCAAAGTCTCTGCCTTTAAATGCTTCACTTGCTCCAGAAGAACCCTCCAGGAGTTTAGGTGGTGGAGGAAATAAAATGCTCACACCCGACCCAGCTGGAGGACCAGAGAATGCATCAGAGACCTGGGGCCAGAGGAAGTGATGCACAGAGGGAGCTCCAGGCAGGAGGGCAGCTCAGCACACTCCGCTCAGCTCTTATCCTAAAGGTAAGAGGTCTGACTGGACTCACGCACGGAAGCTTCCAGGCCGAGCTCACCGGCTCACACAGAGGCCCCGTCTCCTGCCCTCACCCTCTTCTCTCTCATCACAGCCAGGGGTGGCCCTGGGTGACACTGACCCAGGAATTTAGAGCACTTAGGAAGAAAACTGCCTGGCACACTTCCACAGCAACAGGACGTTCTCAGCCTCTTTCTCCTCCAGCCCCACCACAGAAATATGAGCTGCCAAGCTGAGCAGGTCTTATCTGCCGGCATCGACTCAATCCTCACAGCAGACCCACCAGGACACGCGGCAGGGCAGGGCTCAAAGTGCTGGCATGTGTGTCTCAGTTTATTTCCCATCTCCCTCCATCTCTCACTGGTACCCAAGAGCTGTTTTCCCTTCCCCAGCCCTCGGCAAGGCAGAAACAATGGCTCCAGGAAGCCACTGTCCTGAGATATACAGAGTCCGGTGGAGAGAGGGGAGTTCTGCTCCCAGATTCCAGAGAAGGCTGGGGCAAGTGCAGGGGGGGCCAGGGAGGTGACTTGGCCAGAAGAAGAACGGGTAGAAGGACTGGGGGTGGGAGGAGGAAGAGCCTTCAGCTGAGAGGATCCCAGAGTACCGCAGGAGGGGCTCAGCACGGAGCTTTGTTCGCGTGTGGACAGCCTCCCTGACCCACCAGACTGGTCCAGGCACCACCTCACAATCCTGAATACTTATAAACATCCCCACCCCCACTGCCCAAGAACACAGGGGCGGGGCCCTGGGCACCCTGAATGCCGATGCAGCCATGATAGCACATCTCAGCCCCCTGCTGGAGGAGAAGCAGGACAGCTGGCTGGGAATTCCCCATGCACCAGGGGCAGGGGTGGACACCCTGCATCTGCTTCAATTATCCCCATTCTACAGATAAGCAAACTGAGGCTCAGAGAGATTAAGCTGCTTGAGCTAACGATTGCTCTAACAATGCAGATCTCACCATGCTACTCCAATGCTGCAAGTCTTCAGTGGTCCCTGCAAGACACACAATCCCATAACCACGTCTTCTTTCTTTTCCTTTCAATATTCTGCTCCCACTGCCTGCAATGTCCTTCCACACAGCTCAGATGATAACCCTCAATGATCCACCTGGACCAAATGGGTCACTCCGTCCTCTGGGCACCAGGACGGCATTGTGTCTATGTCAGTTTTTAACGCAGGCTTTTCCAAACTTCAATCAATCCTTCATGTGCCTTTTTCACATCTTTTCTTACCATCTAAACTGGTATTTGCTTAGTATTTTTAAAATCTAGTCACTTTTTTACTTAACTAAATTTATCTGAAATGGAAACTTTATATTACCACTATTAACGGCAAACCTGTATCACCAGCCATAAATGGAAGATAAGCACAGAAATGAATAAGAGCAAAGCAGTGCGAGGAAATTCTAGCTCAATACTGCTGGCTACTGAAGGTTTTGAGTCAGGCCCCACCTCTTCTCCTTGCTTTAACAAAAATGATATTAGCAAATGTTAGAGAACTATTAGGGGCATATTGTCATCAAATGAGACCTTCTTGTTTGAGTAATTAGAAAGACTAAAAGAAAACATAAAGAGAGAATAATGGGATATCATGATGTGATATAAATTTACATAATATCACATCTATGTACCACCTAAAAAAAATCTCAAGTACTAAATTAAAATCATCTTACAAATCATCAGTGCCACGGCTTCACATCTTAGGAAATACTGTTGCATTTGTAGAGACAGGTTTTTCAGTCAATCAACAGGGCTGTGTAAAGATTCTCATATCCTTGCCCTATCCTAACCACATGGGTAGAGGGAAGAAGAAGCCAGTACGAGACAGCACCTTTAACATCATGCGAGTGGTACACAAATGAGCCAAGTTTGGGCAATTCCCTTATATTGGTTGAAGGGAAACAGAACTGACACACACAAAACATTAGTAACAATTTAGATATAGAATTGAATCAAACTCTAGAGCAGGAGTCAGCAAACTTCTTCTGTAAAGGCCAACAGTAAACATTATAGGCTTTTCGGGACAATCTCTGTTATCAGCTACTTAACTGCACCATTGTAGCACTAAAGCAGCCATAGCCAGTACACAAATGAATGGCTGTGTTCCAATAAAACTTTATTTGCAAAAATATATGGGGGCCAGCCAGTGGCGTAGTGGTTAACCCCACTTCGGAGGCCCAGGGTTGGTGGGTTTTGATGCCGGGTGTGGACCTATGCACCATTCATCAGGCCATGCTGTGGCAGCGTCCCATATACAAAATAGAGGAAGACTGGCACGGATGTTAGCTCAGGGATAATCTTCCTCAAGCATAAAGAGGAAGATTGGCAACAGATGTTTGCTCAGGGCCAATCTTCCTCATCAAAAAACAAACGTGGGGGGCCAGGCATCAGCACTTTGCTGACTCCTGTTCTAGAACATGTGTTTCAACAAAGACCATGAAAAATAAGAGCGACTACATTATCAAAAGTGGCTGCAGTTTAATTTGGAAATGAACCCTAGCATGTCTTTCATTTCTTCCAACTCATTATTAGAAGAACCCTCTGATTGGTCAGTGGACCCATCTGGCCATAGATGATTGGATCAGAGGTAGATAACTGATCTAAGCTGAGCCAGTCAGATTCTCTCTCCTAAGAATTTGGAATTGGGGTATTCCAAGTAGTTAGTCCTGGGCCCTTCAATAGAGAAACACACAGATCTGCCTAGAGTGGTCCTTTTCTACCACCCGCAGGCAAAGAGGAATGAAACAGATATGTGGGGGAAAAAGAAGGTTAGAGAATGAGCAGAGGCCTTGCTTTCCAGTTTCCGGTTCCAATCTCTCATGAGGCTTGGCTGTTTTCTATTAGAAACCTCTATATCCGTCCAATCAAGTTATCATTTTTATTTATATTAGTTTGAGTGGATTTCTCTTTCTTAGAGATGCTGTAAGACAAAATTATTGCTTGGGTAGCTCAAATTCTTTTTTTTTTTTTTTTTTTAATTTTTATTTATTTATTTTTTTCCCCCAAAGCCCCAGTAGATAGTTGTATGTCATAGTTGCACAGCCTTCTAGTTGCTGTATGTGGGATGCGGCCTCAGCATGGCCAGAGAAGCGGTGCGTCGGTGCGCGCCTGGGATCGAACCCGGGCTGCCAGTACGGGAGTGTGCGCACTTAACCGCTAAGCCACGGGGCCGGCCCTCAAATTCTTAATAAGAATTTCAGGAAGCCAAATAGCATCAGGTCAGGGCGTGACCTAAAACAAGGCAGATTCCATTCTGTATAAGGACAGTGCCTCTTGCCTGTATCAGAAGCCCTTGGGGGTATTTGTTTACAATACAGATTCCAAGCACCTTCTCTCATCCAGAAGCTCTGGGCTCTGGCCTGGGAGTCCGCATTTTAACAAGTGCCTCCCTTCCTCTTCACTCTAATCACTAAATTTGTTCTGCGGTACTATCAAAATTGATTCATTTAATATGGTGGTTAGGAAGAGTCCACAGGTAAAATAGAATCCTTCTATCTTGATTTTCCTGACACTTTCCCAGCAGTCGTTAACGGGGGTGAGAAGGGAACTTTCTTTTGCCCCTTAATATTCTAATTAAGCTTTCCTTTTCAATAGGAATCTCTCTGCCCCCTCTTGGAGAACTTTTTGAGAGCTTTCCCATGTCATGAAGGAAGTGATATTCTGTGGTGGTTTCAAAACATATCTGCAACAGAATCAAGAACCCAGAAATA